CGCCCGACCGAAGTCCTCCAGTGCCGGCGACACCGCGGCCGCGATCGCCTTGGGCACGCCAAGTACTCGTGGCGGGTGCGGTGCGACGACGGTGTGGTTCGCTGGGCCCAACGTGACGACGTCGACGACCACCTCATCGTCGAGTTCAACAACAAGATCAACCGTCCCAACGAAGCCCAGGATGCAGATGCGACGATCGACTTGGTCGACTGCCTTTTCGTCCCGGTGGTGTAGACAACCAACAGGATCACCTTTTTCCGACGGCCGGTAGCCGCCGGGGGTCCTGTGGTGATCCTGGCTAATCACACGCCCCTTTGCAGTCCCGACAAGGTGCGACCAGGCACGTAGAGACGGGGTGGCGACAATACACACCCACCAGTAGGAGAGCACTTAATCCCCAAATAGCAACGAAGTGAATCCCTTTGGTCTCTGCGCTTGGCCGTCTGTGTACGACAGCGGTGGCCAGCGGACCGCTACCGGCCTTCAGCCGGAAACGACACTACGGTACAGCCTCCGCTGCGATATGGTGCACCTGGTGAATTCTTTGTAGAGCTCCAGTGGTGTCAACGTCAATTTCATTTTTATATTGTGCAGTGAGGGTGGTGCATCGTCTCGATCTCGCTTTGATGTGGGTCGTTATTGTTAGAGCCGCCTCACCCTTCGCATCATTTCGGCACTTGGGTCCAATACTACATAGCAGGACGCTTCACATATAGAGGCCACTGTTGGAAATCACACACCGACAACTGATCTAGACCAACTGAACCACACACTATGCACAGATTACCCATGGTCTAGCTTATATAACGAACAATATCACTTTCATATTTGCATTCCACCCCACACATCTCAGAGTCTGAGATGCTGTACCGTGGCACACTGCGTGGCTAGGATTTCTTACAGCCACAACAGCTTGCTGCAGCATCGCGGAATGATGCAGGATGGATAACGTTCATGAGGTGGTTTAAAGAATCGCTACTCGGATTTGCAGGCCCAGCGATTCTACTGTGACAGGCGCGGCCGCTGCACGCACGCGCTTCGCCTGGAGGTGCAGTGGCGGTCGCGGTCGACGCCTTGCTTCGCTACCGTCGCCTCTGCCTCGCGGCGATCTTTCGCTTCAGCTCCTTGGCCTTCTCAATCGCAGTCACTCCTGCCATGGCGCGTGTAGCTTGGCTCTTCCGCTCATTGCGCTTGCGCTCGGCCCGCGAAACTGGCGTCCGCACCATGACCAGATCTTTTGCTCTGTGCTTGGCACGCGAATTGCAATTGAAACCTGCAGAGCGAATGCGAAATCCAGATACGATCCTAACATCGCGATCTAACTCATTGATCTAACACAATGAAACAACGCGTAGCTTCAAGGTCCCGCGCTACCGCGCAGGACCCATCGATATCACGTGCACTATCGCGCACATAATTCTACAGCGCTGCCGTGCACTATCACAAGTGCACACGCTACGATCGTGATTGTCGCGCATCGATGCCACATGTACTCGCCACATTGCTTTGATGCGTTCCCGGGGACTTGACGATGCAGCCATTGCTGCGGTCTTACTTCTGCGATGCCGAACATGGTGCCATCGCTGCCAGTGACTTTGTCGAAGTCGTCGCTGCCCGTGTCGTCGGTCGTGTCGACGTCGGAGGTGTCGGCAGTTGTTTTGCACTTGGCGTTCGATGTAAATGCTGCCGAACAATGGGCCAAGCAGTACATGACGACGACGCAGGCCGCCATGCTCATCGAGTACAATCTGAAAAAGAAACGGGGCAAGGTCTACTGGTGTTACACGAAGCTGCATGGGTCATGCAGCTATGAATCCGCCTCGTCGTCAAGAAGGTCGCAAAGGAAACCGTCGGCATCGAGGTCATCGAGCTGAACCGACACAACGAGCCTCGTGCCGATGCCATGGACGTACCTTGCCGCGGCAAACGTCGACATGGAAGCGCTGCAAGAACCGCTCGTCGTGCCTCAAAGCGTCGTCGTGTGAACAAAGGCATCGTTGGGGGCTAAGTCGATTCTCACATGGCTTCGCGCCGAGTTTCTCAAACACGAGTGTCGGTTCCGCGAGATGCTGACCTACAAGCAAGTCGCCAATCGGCGTGCGTACGTTCTCGGCAAGCGTCGAGTCTACGAGTGTTAGATGTTCTCCCTCCCTGCTGCAGTCGATCACGCCATGTCCGTCATGGACACCCACCGACAATATATATACTATAAGTTGTCGCTCCAGTGTGCTGGGTCATGCCATGTCTACTTGTACGAGCTGACGGTGATCAGAGGGTTCCAGTCTTCTGCTACTTGTGGGTCTCCTACACTGTACTGTACTGCATCGCGACACCATGCGACCACCTTGACCAGCACGTCAACACCAGTCCAGAAATCGGCGACAAAGCATAGTTGCATGTATTATGTATCGATAGAAAATCTACAGGATCGGAGCCGCGATTCTTTGGACAGAGTTGGTCGAGCTGACCGCGTAGATATTGTCGTTGCTGAGGGCAAGGCTCTTCCAATTGCTCTGAGGCAGCGGCGCCGACCACGTTGGCGGCATGAGGGACGTAAGATTGCTGGTCGTGCATACGATCGACTGGTCCGTCTTGATGCCGCACACGCGCTTGCCGTCATACGCAATTTTGGTAAAGGCTGGCGCCGTCACTAGCGACCATGAGACGGTGCCGCTCGTGATGCCGGCGACGGCGGCACGGTTTAAGTTTTTGTTGTTGTTGAGCCCGAACATCGTCATGCTGTTGGCGGTCATGGCCGTCGACAAGAAGTTGTTGGTTGTGGTCTTCCAGACGCGGTTTCCGTTATTTAGCCGGAGTGTGCCGCACTTCGTGGTGCTGCTAAACGTTGCGCAAATGTTCGTGCCGTCGGTCGAAAGTTGATCAACGGTGGTCAAACCCGTCTTCTCGCTGGATGGTTGAGACTGCGAGTTGATCCACTGGAGGAAAAATGTAGAGCTGCTGCCGTCGTATTGCACGATGTAGTTGCCACCGACAGCGGGAAGGGTCTTGCCCGACCCGCGTGAAGTCGGTTGAAGAGGCATCGCTTGTGATGTAGTACACAAGAGTTCGTTGCCGTTGCCGTTCTTGAGTAAGCAGACGACGTTGTCGTTTGCAGCCACATCCTTGTAAGAGCCCGTGATCGCGGCCCCCCACGTTGGAGACGGCGTGGGCGCCGGAGTAGGTGCAGGCGTCGGAGCAGGCGTCGGAGCGTCCGTAGGTGCAGGCGTCGGTGCAGGCGTCGGAGCGTCCGT